CTCACCTCTGTCCCCCCGTGCCTTCACAGACGGAGGGGAAGGTGCGCAAGGAGGAGGTGGCGGCGCTGATGGCGGAGGGCATGGTGGAGAACTACCTGCGTGCACAGAGAGACAAGATCGAGCGCCAAGTCAAGCAGGCGCTGGCCGTGCAGGAGGTGTACCGGCTCGAGGGGCTGCAGTTCAGTGAGGAGGAGCTGGAGGCGGAGGTGGCGAGCGCAGAGGCGGAGTTTAAGCGCTTCAACCAGGAGTTTGACGGCAAGCGCATCCGGGAACAGGTAAAGGGGGGGTGCACCCTGTCATGCCATTGGGCGGTTGGCGGTGGGCGGTTGCGGTGGGCGGTGGTGGGTGAGAGGCATGGCACGTGGTGCATCAGCACGTGCTTCGCAAGTGCTTCGTTGTTGCTCATCGCTACTTGTCCCTTGCCCATTGTCCATTGCATCTCCATCTCTCCAACTCCTGTGTCAACCCCACGCTTTGGCAACATGACAGGCGGCAGAGGTGTTGGAGGGGAAGACGGTGCTGGATTGGCTGGCATCACACGCCACCATCACATACGTCACCCCCTCAGCATCATCATGACTGCTCTCCTGCAAGCCACACATGACATCACTCAGGTTGCTACACCTCACATCCACATGCCCTGCCAGCCTGAGGGTATTGCCTGCGCGCAGAGCGACATGTGCTGTAGTTCCCATCCCACACGCAGATGTTGAGAGAGGGGTGAATGCCTGTCATGGCAGACTGCATCTTCCCACAATGTTCCCAACTCCAGCTGACTGGACTCCAAGTGCTAAAAAATGTATTTAGAAAGCTTGCTTTCTTGTGTTTGCAATGGCAACGAGCTTCGTTTCAAATGGGCATTACATCATTCTCGTTATATATATATGGTACCTACATTACACATGACAACATGCAATTTTTGCTAGGGTGGGTGGGTGGGAAATAAGACATTTGAAAATTCAAACGAAGACGTGGGTGGAGGCCAAATTGTCAAATATGTTTGTATACATTTTGTATAACTGCCTACAGTAGTGTAGTGTAGATAGCATTTGTATCAGTTGGTGGTGCACCCTCTCTCTCACCTATATGTTCACAACATTCTATAGTGAAACCCCTCCATTCTCGCTATCCTTTGGCACAACCCACTCGATACCCTCCTTGCCTAGGCTCCTAAGCCTAGGCATCCTAAACCTAAGTACCTCCTTAACTTTGAGATGATATCAGAGCAGGTCCGTTCTTAAGGACCTCGTTAATTTTATTTCGCCATGGCTGCCCTCGTTGCCATGGCGATCGTTGCAGCGCCCTTCGAGGCGCTCGCCCGGTGCCTGCCCCGCACTGCTCGCCCCGTGCTACCCGCCCCACGCGCTGGTCGCCCCGTCCCGCGCACTGTCGCGTCGCCCCGCCGCTGGTCGCGGACGCCAGCGCCAGCGCCTCCGACCGTCGCGAACGCCAGCGCCAGCGACGTGCGCCAGCGCCAGCGACTGTCGCGAGCGCCAGCACCAGCGCCAGCGCCAGCGCCGGTCACCAGCGCCACCGCCAGCGTCAGCGCCAGCGACATGCGCGAGCACCGGTCGCGAGCGCCAGCACCAGCAGCAGCCGCCTGCGACCCCGCCATCGCCACCCCGCTCCCCGCCTCCGCGCCTGCTGCCGCCCTCTTCTACGGGGGACATTGCGGGGGGGAGGTGGCAGGGCTCGCGCCCGCGGCTACGGGGGTACTTAAGCCCCCTTGAGCCCTCCCGCCCCTCCCTAATCCTCCTCCTCATCGCTGCCCGTGCATGTGCGGTGCGTGCCGCGTTGTGGGGGGGGGGAAGAGGGTATGGGGGTGGCGGGTATGTGACGGTAGCCGCCCCCCCTTCTCCTCCTCCTTCCGCTGCACTTCCTCTCATCCTCCTTCCGCTGCACCCTCTCCTCACTCCGGCAGCCGCCTCTCCACTCCTCCTCCTCTCCTCACTCCAGCAGCTGCCTCTCCACTCCTCCTCTCCTCACTCTAGCAGCCGCCTCTCCACTCCTCCTCCTTGCTTGCGTCAGCTCCAGCCGTACTGCCTTGTGGGGGAGAGGTTTGGGGGGGGTGGGGGGTGCCGTGAAGCCAGTAGCGCCAGTCGCCAGTGAGCCCGTTGCTCCAGTCGCCCGTGGGTCAGTTGCTCTAGCCGTACGAGCGGAATGCTCCAGGCGTACGAGCCCGTTACCCCAGTTGCCCGTGAGCCAGTAGCTCCAGTTGCCAGTGTGCTAACAACTTCAGCCGCTGCCCACCTCCTCTCTCTCTCTCTCCTCCTCCTCGCTTGTCCTCTCCTCCTTCCGCTGCTCTCTACCTTGGTGCACCCCTGCAGGGAGTGTTGTCTGCACGTGGTTTCTACTGTGGGCAGTTAGGGGGTGTGTCAAATATGTTTGTATACATTTTGTATAACTGCCTACAGTAGTGTAGTGTAGATAGCATTTGTATCAGTTGGTGGTGCACCCTCTCTCTCACCTATATGTTCACAACATTCTATAGTGAAACCCCTCCATTCTCGCTATCCTTTGGCACAACCCACTCGATACCCTCCTTGCCTAGGCTCCTAAGCCTAGGCATTCTAAACCTAAGTACCTCCTTAACTTTGAGACAAATGGCCTCCACCCCCTGCTATATAGTTGGCGAAGAGCGTCTAGCACTTCGCCGTTGCCATTGCTGCATTACAAGCAGCTTCGCTTTCAAAATACACATTTTTAGAAAGTGTTACACACTTTCAAAAAAATTCATTTCTGTTAGGTAGGAGAGTGAAGCAAGCAATCTTGATTCATTCTGTGCACACAACACAAGTATCAAGCACTGTCAATAGTATAAGCCTGTACTGGCAGGCCATGTTCTGCAGGTGAGTAGGATTGGAGTGACTGTGATATGGATGACTTTCCTCTCAATATGAGAGCACGGTATCTGGGACATGGTAGGCTGTTGGATTCTACAAAGCAGGGGCAGGAATTTACCGTCATCACCCGGATATAAGACAGTGTTGAATAGTAGACAGGGGTTGTCTACTATACAGGTGTCTCTTATAAACAGGCTAGCCTCATTATAAGACACCTATTTGTGTGTATGAGATAAGACATATATGTCTTATAATCGAAACTTCAATAAATTATAGCGAAAGTTGAAGTACCGCGTACTTTTTTACCCTTGCGAAGCGCGAATTCTTCCACGCGCTGACCCAGGACCTACCAAATTTGCCCCTGCAGGTGTTCTCCATAACGTGGCGTCTCGGGCAGAGGTTGTCGAAGTGGCACCTTCGCAACATCCACACGCATTATGAGAAACTCTTTTTAAAGAAGTACGGAAAATATTTCTAAGTAGTTTAAAAAGTTTCCATTTATAAGACTTATAAGACACCCTAAACCATCCCGTTTACAAGATAACTCAAGCATTTTTGCCCGTGTACGAGATAAGACATATATGTCTTATATCCGGGCGATGACGGTACAAGTTTGATGTGTTCGCTCCCAGCAATAGAGGAAAACAAGGGCTGAAAAGCATCTCTGAGTAGCATGTAGGTACACCTCTTATAAAGATTGTAGGGCTCTGTGGTGTGGTGGGGCCATGGATGACCCTAATGGAGTAAACCTCATATGCATCTTCACTAGATGCACATACAGTCAGGTAAAGTGAGTGAGTGACCGAGTGACCCATGCCACCACCACAGCTTCCCCACCCAACAGCACCACCTGCAACTCTGTGCTACCACATAATATTGGCATTTCTATGGCAACGCATTGATATAGAAGTTGGGAAGAATGACTAGCCAGCTCAGATTTGACGACAGGTGGGATCTAACTAGAAATACTGCCCATTGCTGTTCCTGAGTGGCTACGATTTCACCACTACTCAATTCAGCTCATCTGCTATTTCCTAATGCAAATCGCTCCAGTGTCATCTAACCATATTTAATACGATACCTAAATCCCAACATCAATCGTCCAGAACCATGTGGTGCAGACAGAATGCAATGCATCACATTGATAGATTGTAAATGGCAAGCGGAAAGCACAGTATCACGCCTAAGAGAGCAAATCCTAGAAGCAAAAATCAGCAAACACGAAAAAAAAAAGGTTCTTCCCAGGAGGCCTGGAGAGAACGGAAGTCAACGGCTACAAGCTTCAGCTTAGCTTGAAAGAGAAGTGGTGTTTTCTAGGAGAGAAAATAGGCAGCACGCAAAGCATTCACAGCAAGCTGGGCCTGCGATCTGCGTGTCAAAGACTCACAGATCGCAGCTGCTGTGCTGCGCTTCAGACAGGAGCCGAGCCAACACTCTGTGCCAGCAGCGATGCTTTGGGGTGTGGTGCCGTGAGCACCAACAGCGCACTGCTTGCTTGCCATGCAAGCAGGCCGCTTCACAGTGGACCTTCCACATTCGCTTTCAAAGTAGGCAATCTGTCGGTTTCAGTTTCGCATTTGACTGAGGGTTCGGGCTGGGTCAGCCCGAACCGGCTCTTGGCCGAGAGAAGACACGAGCGTGTCTGCTGCAGGTAGGTTTGTGGGGGACAGACATTAACATTGGCACACGAGGTGGCTTTTGAGTGGACTATCGAGGCTTGTGAGGCAGACGCAATGGCACCCACGGGAACAATGGTTGCAACAGATGCGACGAGACTCACAAGAGGGGCAGAAAACACAGACATGAGCACAACATGTGTTGACAATGTGGTGGTTGCGGGGAAGCATGCACATGATGGTGGTGGCACAAGTCACCAGTCACACGCGCACACACACTCGGCAGGTCAGTTTTGAGACGTCACACACTCGGCAGGTCAGCGTATGCGTGCGTCGAGAGGGATGCTGGCCCGTGCAGAGGAGGTAGGCAGGCCAATGGCAATGCACGGCGCAGCAGAGGCCGCCAGATGGCTGAGCCAGCCGGGACCACATGGGAGCACAGTGAATCAACAGGGACAAGCATGGAAAGCAAGTGAAAGCACAACTGCCAATCGTCTCACCTGTGGCATGCGAACAGATGACTGGCGTGGCAGAGCGGCGGTCAGTAGTAGGTGGTGGGCACCGAGGCATACTGCCCGTATGCACTCGTCCCCGTCGCACCCCCTGCACCCGCTGCCCCCCCGGCACCGCCCGCGCCACCTGCAGGCGCAGGGGACTTGCCGGCAGACGTCGGCGACTGAGAATGGTTGGGCGGCGCTGCTGAAGAATGGGCGGCGGGAGGAGCAGGAGCGGCGGAAGTGGCAGCAGCATGGGTGTTAGCATACAGGCCTGCATACGCGCCCCCATACGCACCCCCGTAACCGCCTGCAGTGCTGGGAGGCGCTGGCCCTCCTGCATAGCCCCCCTGTCCTCCCCCCTCTCGCTTCACTCCTTGCTGCTGCCCCCCTCCCTCTCCACCGCGGCCTCTATCTGCTCCCCCTGCTGCCGACTGCTGCTGCTGCTGTGGAGGCTTCTGATCATAAGACTGCTGTTGCTGCTGCTGCTGCTGCTGCTGCTGTGGCTGCTGGTATGGCGGCTGGTATGGCTGCTGTGGGGGTGGCGGCTGCTGCTGCGAGTAAGGCTGCTGATAGGGCTGCTGCTGCTGCTGCTGCTGCTGCTGCTGCTGCTGCTGCTGCTGCTGCGGCTGCGGCTGGGTGGAGTAGTGGTGAGAGTGTGCGTACGAGCTGGCATGCACAGTGACATCACCACATCACACACAGAAAGGCGAGAAGGGAAGGGAAGGAGAGGTAAGGGACAGGGAAGGGAAGAGAGCTGTAGCATGTGGTGGGAGAGGCACGCGAGAAAAAACACCGACTCATAATGTAAAATGGGCAAGACGTGGATATGTGGGCACTCCTCGCATGCAAGAGCACCTCTCACAGTAGCACTCACCGCTCTGCACCGCCTGCGCTGCTGCCACTGCCCGCCCCGGCCCCCTGCTGTGCCCGTGGGTGCTGCTGCTGGTAGTACGGGGGTGGCGCTGGTGGTGGCGCTGCCGGTGCACTCCCAGTGCCGTATGGAGCAGCGGGGGCAGGAGGGTAGGAGTAGGACGGCGGGTAAGAGGGTGGGGCGGGGTAGGTGTGCGCAGAGGGGTACGAGGAAGGAGGGTTGGAGGAGGGGGGCGGGTGCGCTGGCAGCGGGTTGGTATAGGGATGAGGAGGGGGCGTGGAGTAGGGGTGTGAGGGCGGAGGCGCGCTGTAGGGGTGTGCGGGCGGCGGGTTGGAATAGGCGGAGCGCGGTGGGGGGGCGGGGGGAGCATAGGGGTCGGTGCGAGGCCGCTGGCTCGCATGCTGCACACACACATGGAGGGGGGTTCGAGGGTTTGAGGGGGGGGGTGGGGGGGAGGTTGAAGGGAATGAACACGGGACGGAGGGAATTGAATCGCGGGCAAGGAGGGCACGAGGGAGGAACAGCGAGGCCTAGGGGGAAAGGCAAGGCCAGGGGCGGATAGGTGGGGTGGGAAGGGCGGATAGGTAGGGTGGGAAGGGCGGATAGGTGGGGTGGAAAGGGCGGATAGGTGGGGCGGGAAGGGCGGATAGGTGGGGCGGGAAGGGCGGATAGGTGGGGCAGGAAGGGCGGATAGGTGGGGCGGGAAGGGCGGATAGGTGGGGCAGGAAGGGCGGATAGGTGGGGCGGGAAGGGCGGATAGGTGGGGCGGGGGAAGTGGCTCACAAGGGCGTCAGGGTTGTCAGCAGGGGGATACGGCCGCTTCCCTCCACTCGCTGCTCCCTCTGTCCGCCCGTACTGCCCCTCATACGCCGCCCCTCCATACTGCGCTCCACCGTACGGCACCGCACTGTACTGAGACCCACCGTACGAAGCCCCCCCATACTTGCCTCCATACTGCGCTCCACCATACTGCACCGCACTGTATTGCCCGCCACCATACTGGCCTCCATAAGCAGCCCCTGCAGCCCCAGAGGCGGCATAAGCCGAACTGGGGGCGCCATATCCCCCGCCCGCTGCACCCAAGCTCGCACCCAGCGGTGGGGCAGCGGGAGGGGCAAGAGGGTGCATGGTGGGGGAGACGGGTGGCAGGCCCGAGCGCATCACATAGTGCATGCCCTGAATCCGTCCCAGCCTCTCCGCGTAACTCTCTCCCGCTGCCGCCTCCCCCAAACCGCCACCAATCGCCCCTCCCCCATACAACCCCAACGAACCATACCCACCCACTCCCCGTTCCACGTCCCCTGTCCCCCACCCCCCATACCCCCCACCATCCCTATCCGCTCGCCCCCTATCCCCCCCTCCGCGCCCCCCATACGCCCCTCGGCCCCCCCGCTGCGCCCCTCCAGGCGAGCCTCTGCCGCCCTTCCCCTTGCCCATCTGCTTGAGGCGGGCCTGCCCTGGGCGGGTGAGTTCGCTCTCCCCCACGCCCGCCTGCAGCAGCGACTCCAGCGCAGCAGCCGCCGCCATCTGCTTGGCGCGCAGCTTCATGCCCGCGCGCGCCTCGCCACACACCCACGGGATGGCGTTCGGCCCGCCGCCTAGTGAGGCGGACGCGTCAAAGGGGCCTGTAGGCTCGCCCTTGAGCTCGTACGTCACCTGGCAGGGGCGGGCAGGGATAGGTGGCGCGGGGAGGGATGACGCACAAGGTCAGAGGTTTCTGCGAATAAAATGCTCATGCGGATAGGATGAGTGAAGCGACAGGTGGACGAGAAGGCATTGTTGCAACCAGTGCAGGCAGGGGCATGGCAGGGGCATGACAGGGGCATGGCAGGGGCATGGCAGGGTGGGTGGTCACTCACTCCGGTTGCGCATGACATGGCAAGGGCATCTCACCTCGATCTTGTTGCGCATAGCAAGCTCGTTGAGCATGCTGAGGGGCGTCTTGTTGGACAGCTTGAGGTCCTGCCGGAACATGCTCACGATGCTGTGCACGCGCGACAGCTGGTGCGACAGGTACTCGCTCTCGTCGTCCGACCCAAACACACACACCGCACACTCAAACCGGTTCAGCCCTGCCATGTTCTTCCCCTCCCTCTCCCCCGCACGCGCTTTTCCTGGCGTCCCCGCCTCCCCCTCTGCCCCTTCTTCCCCTGCTTCTTCCTCCGCGACCCCCTCACCGTCGCCCGCGCCCTTGGATTCATTTGCCAAAGCTGCTTCCACTGCCGCCGCTGCACTCCCTGCCAACCCTCCCTCCTGCTGCTCCCCCACCCCTCCTCCTCCTTCCGGCTTCTCCCCCTCCCCTCTCCCCACCCCCCCCTCCAGTGCACTGCCCGCCCCTACTCCGCTCCCCCCATCGCCACCGCCCTCCTGTTTCACCTCCGCCCCTGCCTCCCCTTCACCTCCTGCGCCTTCCCCCTCCCCTGCGTGCGCCCCCTGCGCGCCCTCCCCGCGCTCCTCGCGCTCTGCCTGCTCCCTCAGCGCCTCCAGCAGCGCAGTCACGCTGCCGACCCCCACGCCCGCCCGGCGCTGCTCCCCCCCACCCGCCCTGCCGCTGGGAGGCGGGTGGCGCGGCTTGCGGTCCTGCGGCTTGGCCAGAGTCACTCGCATCTTCATCTGCAGGGGGGGGGAGGAGGGAGGGGGAAGTGAAAGGGGACAAGCGGGCATGTCGTGGGTATGACACGCACAGGAATAAAGGAGAGTGGGGTGGGGAGGGGACAGTGAGCGGAGTGATGGAGGCAGCAGAAAATAACAGATGATGCCCGGCATGGCATGGCAATCCGCAAGTGGGGATGCGCAGCAGCACACATGCGTGTGAGAACACTTGCCTGAAAGCTCCCATCGACGACATGCGAGCCATTGAGGGCGGCAATGGCAGCGAGGGCAGCCTCGCGAGTGGTGTAGTTGATGAAGCCGTAGTCCTGCCGCTTGGCAGACGGCAGGTTGCGCGCCAGCACCACACGCTCGATCTGCCCGTACCGCCCGAAGAACCCCGCCGCCCGTGGCTCGTCCCACGAGGGCGGCATGCCGTCCACGAAGATGCTCTTCACCTGGCGGGCGGGGCGTGGGAGAGACGCAGGCGGGTGAAGAGGAGTGACATGTGAGGGACGCATCGCCCGTGTTGCCTTGCAGGGGGCTTAGCAACAGACGCATCCCGTGCCTCATGCAAACATCAGCCCCATGCCTACGGTCGCTCCATGCTCCACCCACCTGAGCCATGCTTGCCCCACCCCACGCACCTGCGCCATCACGCGCTGGTCGGGCTCGTTGAGGGGGGCGGCCCACGACACCCGAGGCGGGCGGTCCACGCCCAGGCTCACGTCCGCCTGCTGCAGGCGCTGCTTGGCGGCAGCAGCGGCGCGGTGCGAGGCGAACTCGAGGAAGGCGAAGCCGCGGTTGTGCCCCGCGTGCTGCGGGTCCTCCATGAACGTCAGCGCCTCCCACGCCCCCACACCGCTCCCCGTCAGCACCGCCTCTATCTGCCACCCATGGCGCGCTCGCAGCACACGGCGGGGACCGCGGGGATGGCAGACGAGTGGAAATAAGAAGTGAATAGGGTGAATCAGGCGGCAGTTGTGCAGGAGAAATGAAATGAAAGGAAATGCATGGCTGCTTGAAGCCCAACAACCCTAAAATCGCCCTTCTGTCCTGCTCGACCACAGTGGCGCTATGTCACGCTTCACTACAGCCTTGAGGCTCGAAGGGCATTTGGGAAACCTGTAGCGTGCGTGACCGACCTTGGCCTTGGACCACGTCTTGTTGATGTTCCCGATGAACAGCGTGTCCTCCTGCTCGCCGCCCAACACCCCCACCGTCCTCCCCCGCACCTGCACACGCGCCCGCACGTGCCACATGCCACGTGAAAGGAGGAGGGTGAGAAAAAGGCGAGAACGACCGACAATGTTGATGGGCAGAGCACAACGGGTGTTACCGTAGGCCGGCCTCTCACGCCGACGGAGGTCATGGGCTCCGACCCACAAAGACCTGAAACCTAACAACGACCGGCGCGTACCACTATTCGGTCCAGTTCAGAGGCAGCTCGGCGCGCAGCGCCTTCAGTGGCGTACTGCACGAAGCAGTAGGCCTTATTGCGCCCCGTCGCGGCGTCGCGCGGCAGGCGCACGTGCGCGATCTGCCCGACGCGGCCGAAGACGCGCTTCACGTCCTCCTCCGCCGCGTCCTTATCCAGGCCGCCCACGAACACCTCCATCTGCTTCTCCCGCTTGCGCTCCGTCATCGGCGTCGCAACGCTCTGGTCCCCGCCGGTCGCCTCCTCCAAACCCGTCACTCCGCCTCCGTCCATGCCTCCGTCCCTGCCTAAGCCTCCGTCTCCGTTGACGTTACCGGCTACGATTCCGCTTCCGTCATTGTTCACCACCGGCAACCCTGGAACCACGCCTTCAGGATTAACGGCCGGGATTGAAGACTGCGTGTGATCTACGTCATGATCTCCAGCGCTTCGTGCGGGTGGATACACGCCGTCCACGTGCTCTGGTGCTGCCGCCATTGGAGCTTTCAGTAATCACGAAGGTCCAACTCGGCAGCACACAAGGGGAATGACCAAAAGCCTGAGGAGCCACAGAAAATATATCGTAAGCATAAAACGTGACTTTATTCGAGTGTGAGCTTGTGGGTTGGATTACGCAGACCTATCCACTTTGCAGCACTGAACACGTCCTGCTCGCGTCAACCCAAACATCTCCCAGCTGCAACATATCCCCGCTAAAATGCGCCTCACTGCATTCCTTGACCGTCCTGTCCATCGTCCAACTATAAGTTCTCGTATGCCCTTTTGCATCAGACCTGATTAGTTTAGCGCCAACCAGGAGTCAAGTACAATTTCGTCACAAATAGTTGACACAAACGGGCAGCCATTAGTTGCTTGAGTTTCTGTGAATAATTGCAGCTGACCGAAGAAACGTGTCCTCGAGTCTTGGCTTCAATCAGTTCAGAAGGTTCGAAGGTTTTGTTTGCACCACTCATGCCACCTTCGAAGGATGGCATTGGCTCCCATTGTGCGGCTGAATCTACCTGGGGATTTACGTGTGCAACTTTCCCCCGTTCCCCTCCCGCTCTCCGATTCACCACCAGTTTCCCGCCAGCTGGTTAACGAGTTACAGGGAGCCACCTGTTACAAAGCAGGGGCACTCCGTCTCTCCGCCGTCGATTCTGGCTGAACACAATCCCCGAGGTTGTGCTGGCGCGCAAAACCAGGCATCCCCGCCTGAACTACACAAATGTCGAACAGGGCCTTCAGATCTCTCCAGCCTAGTTCCCCCCTCGTCTGCCTGCTCCAGTCTCACCCAGTAGTGCCTTGCATCCCGCCACAGCCAATGCTGGGTTACCTTCAGATAAATGGAAGGCATCGCGCACAATAGCTCTTCTCTTTCCATGCCCTTCTAGCACTAGCAGTTTCACGGCCACGCCGTTCGTGAAGCACAAGCAAATTAACGCTAGGTTCGAGAGCGTGAGACGTCCGCGCGCAATGGCGGATATGTCGTCGCTGACGGCGTCGTTCTGGAGCGTGGTGGACGGGATCGGCACGGTCACGCTAGCGTGGACGCTAGCTCTGCTAATAGCCGCCACGTACATCTCAATGCAATACTCCCGCGACAAACAAAGAGATGCACTCGCTAGTGCCACGCCGCTAGAAGAAATGCCGTTGGAACGACTAACTGACACCGGGCGGCACGATGCGCGAGTAGATCAGAGCAGCGCCGCGGAGCAGACCAGCGACGACGCGTGCACGGGGAACGACGGCGCGGAAGAGTACGACGCGCTGGTGGTTGGCGCAGGCATTGCGGGATGCGCGCTCGCTTACTCCCTCGGAAAGGTTAGGCGTGACCCATTTCCTAACCTGATCGTCAAACCGCATGAACTATTACCACCTGGTGCCAAAGCCTTGGGCATTTCTCAAGCTCCCCTCTCCTGATGTGACCTGTACGTGGTGCTGTGCGGTGCTGTACGGCAGACGGGTCGGCGAGTGCTGGTGTTGGAGAGAGATCTGTCGGAGCCAGATCGGATCGTGGGCGAGTTGCTGCAGCCCGGCGGCTATCTCAAGCTCGTCGAGCTGGGCATGCAAGGTACGTCGCATTGCAAGGCCAGCTCTAGTCCATGGGATTGCGCGATATGAAGGTAGTCTATGTTTGTGCAAGGTACCTGAAGATCAAATGTCCCTTCCCCTCACATTGCCCTTTGGTTATTCATTCATGGATCTGCGCTGTGTTTCGCTGTCGCTGCTCACGTCGCCGTGGCGCCCGTGTATGCGCAGACTGCGTGGACGGCATCGACGCGCAGCGCGTGGACGGTTACGCGCTGTTCATGGACGGCGGCGATTGCAAGGTGTCGTACCCGACGCTCTCCACGGCGCAGCTGCACATGCTCTTCGCGGGCCACCGCTTCGACTCGGCGGGCATCGCAGCGGGTGATGAGATGTGGAAGGTGGCAGGGCGGGGGTTCCACAACGGCCGGTTCGTGCAGCGCCTGCGCGAGAAGGCGGCGTCTCTGCCCACGTGAGTACGGGACTGGGATCCGGCGGGGCTATGGTTGATGAGGCCCGGGCTACGGCTGATGGCGCTGGGACTACTTCTGTTCTGGCCGGCGCTGTGGCTGATCAGGCCGGGGTTAGGTTGAAAAGTACCTGCTTGCAAGAAAGAAGAGGTCGGGCGGTTACGTGGGCAGGGGCGAGGGGATGGCGGATTGATGCGAGGCCGTGAGATTCGCTTTGCTTGGCACGGAGCCGGCGCACGGAGCGAGTCATCTTAGGGAATTGATGCGCTGGCGGGACGCACAATGGAGCAGGACGCTTATTTCTCCCCTGATTTGCTCTTCTTCCGCATTTCCTCCGCTGCCTCTATCCGCCCCGCCCTACGGTACGATGCGCGCAGAGTGACGCTGAGAGAGGCCACGGTGCTCGGCCTGCTGGAGGACGGCGACCGCGTCACGGGCGTGCGCTACCGCTCCGCCAAGCGCGCTCCGGGCAGCGCGCAGGGCGAAGTGCGGGAGGCAAGCGCGGTGGACGGGAAGGGCGAGACGGAGGAGGGCGAGATGCTGGCGCCGCTGACGTTCGTGTGCGACGGCTGCTTCTCCAACCTCCGCCGCTCCATCTCCAAATCCAAGGTACGCCCGCCCCCGCCCCTCGCCCCTCGCCACAAATCTCACTTCACGCCAACACGCTTCTTGCCACAATTCCCCGCCAACCCCAATTCTCCGCCTAATGCTTCCGGCCGCCAATTCCCGCTGCCAAGCTCAGTCCCCGTCTCCCCTCATCCGCCCTTTCCGCTTCCCCTTCCTCCCCGGCAGGTGGACGTGCCGTCGTCGTTCGTGGGGCTGCTGCTGCGCGACTGCCCCTTGCCGCACCCCAACTACGGGCACGTGGTGCTGGCGGACCCGTCGCCCGTGCTCTTCTACCCCGTCAGCAGCACGGAGGTGCGCTGCCTCGTCGACATCCCCGCCGGCACCAAAGTGCCCTCCATCGCCTCGGGGGACATGGCGGACTACCTCCTCTCCGCCGTCCTCCCGCAGGTACGCCCCAACCGCTCCTCCCCTCGCCTCCCCTCGCGTCCCCTCTTCTCCCCTGCTGCGCGCTTTGCTCTCGCACAATGCAGCTTACTTCGCGCCAATCCTCTCGGCTGATGCGTCTCTCCCTCCGGTGCCTCGCTCAGCATCCACATGCAGCTCGGGTTGTTCTCACTCCCATCCCCGCCCCTCCTCCGCACCCTCTCCCCTTCCCCCGCCTCTCCTCTCCAAACCCCCAGCTACCGAAGCAGCTACAAGGGCCGTTCCGAGAGGCGGTGCGCGCGGGCGACATCCGCTGCATGCCCAATCGCATCATGCCAGCTGTCCCCGTCACCCGCCCCGGCGCGCTGCTCATGGGCGACGCATTCAACATGCGGCACCCGCTCACAGGTAAGTTCATTCTGTGCACTCTCTGTCGCATGCTGCTCTCAGGAAACACGCGCCACCCGCTCTCACATGTGCCTCTTCGTCCTGGCGCCACGCAATTGCGTCCCACTGACTCCTGTGCCCTCGTCTTCCTCTGCCTCGCTGCTTGTCTCTGATTGCTTGCCTGATTCCCCGCAATGACAGGTGGCGGCATGACAGTGGCTCTGTCTGACGTGTCAGTGCTGACTCAGATCCTTCGGCCACTCAAGGACTTCCGCAACACGCGGGCGGTCTGTGAATACGCCGAGGCCTTCTACACGCGCCGCAAGGTGCGTGCGCGCGTCTGTGCGGTTTGTCTGTGTGCCTGTGTGCGTCAGCGTGTTGGAGTGTCAGTGGCGCGGAGGGTTTCAGACTGTGTGTGATGGAATGTGTTGTCGTCAGCCTGCAATATTCCCTGTGCCTTATACCCCATGTGCCCTGTGTGCGCCCCACGTGTGCCATGCAGCCCATAGCAGCGACCATCAACACGCTCTCCATCGCACTATACCGAGTATTCTGTGCCTCCAAGGACGAGGCCATGATGGCCATGCGCCAGGTAAGCCCCCCCTCCCTTCCCCACCTCCCCTCCCACGCCTTCCACTGCTGTTGCCACGCATTCCCCCACCCGCACCCTCCACTGGCACTACTCGCTGCCACGTTACTGTTACCCATGATTTCTGCTGCTGCCACAGCTCCCTGCCTCTCGCCCGCCACCTCCCTGCACCATACCCACTCAATCAGCAGCATTAATGACAGCCCACAAAACTCACAGCACTCTCTGATGTCCACCCCTCCTATCCCCACACCCGTGCCCCCCAACCTCTGTATCTTTCCCCCTGACCTGCAGGCGTGTTTTGACTACCTGCAGCTGGGAGGGGCGTGTTCAGAGGGCCCCATCTCGTTGCTCTCGGGGCTCAACCCGCAGCCGCTGAGCCTCGTGCTGCACTTCTTCACCGTTGCCTTCTTTGCCCTCGCCCGCCTCCTCCTGCCCCTCCCCAAACCCGGCCGCGTCTGGCTCGGCGCATGCTTGATACAGGTACGGATGCTCGTGCACCTTGCGTTCAGTATGGCCCAGGCAGGTCGTGCTGCGCATGAAACCCATCCAGGTGCTGCGGTCCATGACTCTCATGTGTGCACCTGTGCGATGTGTTATTGAGATCAGCTGAGGCTTGGCTGTGCTAAGATCTAACCTCCCCTCTTCTCACCCCTCCCCGCTCTCCCTCGCCACCTCCTCCCCCTCTCTCGGCTTGTGGTTATGGCTGTGCCTGCAGGGAGCTGTTCAGCTGATTGTGCCAATCATCAAGGCGGAGGGAG